GGGGGGGGGGGGGGGGGGGGGGGGGGGGGGAATGCACCCTCTTTGAGCCACTAGAGTGCAGTGCTTCCCTGTTTTTTCTCCCCTTTGCAGAGCTCCTCTGGAAATGTTTTGGCTTTGACAAGAGATGGATTTCATGGGAGGGTTGAATAGATTCTAAAACCCGGAGCTTGAACGGGTCAGTTGAAAGCAAAGAAGTCTAGTGGTGACAATTTCGGCGAGACTTTCCTCGACATAATCCTGGAGAGCAGCTGAGTTAGCTGGGAGAGGCGAGAAAAGCAGAGAAGCTCAGAAGAGGCCCTTGAGTTTATTGTGATACGAAGGCTGTTGTCTGTGGAGGCAGTTCAGCAGTTAAGGGACATCTAAGAAAGGGGAAACTGAAAACGTAGGCTCTGGGAGCCTGCTGGAGCTGAGCCCTGGCTGTTGGGCGTTTTCTTAGTCCAGGGGAAGGGCAGCCACTGCTGAGGTCCAGGAACTGAGGATTGTTCTTGCAGAACATCTGGGGCAAACAAAAGACCCTCCGGTTGTGAGTAGCTCAGTTGTTTCTCTCCTCTTGCCTGGAACAGATCAGGTGGGAAATCCCATATGTCTCCCCACTGCGCCAGCCAAGGGTTGGGTGGTTATTGGTGGGCTCTTGGAAGCAAAGCGATGGGTCAGGAGCTGCCAATCTGAATATGAAGGCGACGAAAGGGAAGGGGATGAGCAGGAGCACCAAAAGACTATTGAAAGACCAGATAAAGCAGCCCCCCCACCAGAAGTCCTTTCTCAGAAGCTGTTTGAAAAAGCAAAAAGGGGGGACACAATCCAGGAAGTTAGTTCCCTTTAGGAGGAAGAGAGAAAGGGATGAAGCTGTTTGGGGACAGGGTGGATGGGTGCACTTTCCTACATGTTGGGATCCCATCATATATTATGAGGAGCACATCTGGATCTCACACTATCCCTGGTCAACATCCAGCGTTGACGTCTTCATTTTAGCAGTGGCTCTCTAGGAGAGAGGAGCTTTTCTTTACTGAGGGCCTCAAGTCTCCTCTGTGTCTCCGTTTCATCTTCTGATCTCTCCTAATTGCCTGCTGAATGCATCCATTCTGGAGGCACAGGGTCACGCTCTACAGAACCTGTCTCTTCGGCGTCTTGGCGAGGCCAAAGGAGTCACCCTGACCAGCAGACTGTTTCGGGACACTCTCTTGCCTCCCTTCTGGAAGCGGAGGGACTTTTATTTGCCTTTCACCAAGACCTCTGCCTCATCGGTATGGAGAGCAGAGATGAATGGTCAAGGGATGAGTGCTCAAATCCCACCCTGCCTTTCTGCTCACTCACGTCTTGATGTCTCCATCACTGTAGAAGAGCTTTCATGCTGCATTGGGCAGAGCCATTCTGGGATGGACCTCATCTACTGCTTGGGATGCTTCACCTGAAATACAGTGGCCGGTTGCCACTTTCTAAGCACTTAGAAGGATCCTCAAGGGAGCCACCCCTGGCTATGCCTGCTCAACGTAGGTCCTCTTCAGGTGTAGGGGCAGCCCATACCTAACTTATTGGACTTACAGAATGTGTCAGCAGGCTGCAGAGACTATAGACAAGCTTCTGTTCTCAGTGGAGATTATGAAGGCTAAAGATAAGAGGAACACCAAGTTCCTTCTTCTGAGAGAGCCATGCTGCAAAAGAGTATGAAAGATCTGAGAGCTGACTAGATAGAAATTCTGAATGATCACTTGCTCCATAGTGATCAGCTACCTTGTATGACTACCATTTCTAGAACACAACAGAGTATCTAGTTACGTTCGTCCGGGGCTCATTGGCAGCCTGACACCATCCCAGATGTTTCTGGAAGAACATGAAGAACCTGAACATGGCTCAGCTGTCATGGAGACTGCTGGAGAAAGTCTGTCCTTGAGGCAGCATTTGACTCCTTCAATGAAACTGAGATGGGTAAACCTTGTCGGATTGTAACCGGCCGTTATGATGGTGCAAATTCACCGCTGTTGTTGTTCTTCCTCCTCAGACTAGTCATTTGGGTGGGTCCGAACAATCAGGAACCACACAGCGACCAGAGGGTATCAGAACACTGTATGGCCAATCAGCCTCGACTGGACTGTGATCTCGGTAAAAGGAAGGCAAATAAATTCCAGAAGATGCTTGCCGAATTGCAGAAAGAGAAAGCATTCTTAGCCTTGCCAAAAACGTATGTTAACCGAGCGACTGTTTTCAGCATAGTTCTGGCAAAGAGAGCGGTGACATTGGGCTGTCCTAATATTTTATTGTTTCTACTTCTCTGTGAAGCTTCCTTGTCTTGTTGCTAAGAGAAGGAGAGGAATTGAATTCATCATCTTCTCCTAGTGAACTGCCCACATGTATCTCAGCAGAATTTTCTTGCATCATGTCACTGTTAGCAGGAAGACTTGGTCCCATCTCTGCTGTGCAGGCCACCGTCTCCAGAGATAGCTGTGCACTTATGCCCTTCTGGCATCTTGTTAGGGCCTGAAGAAGTTGGTAATTTGGGATATAATTCAGCTCTCCTTGAACGGCTTTGCCTATGTGGGAGAGAAACTCACACTGATGTTTTTTTCTGCTGGAAAAGGCAGAGGCAGTCTGTGTGATTAAAGGGAGAACGTATTCTTAGCGTGAAGGAGCCATGTCCTCAAAGTTGTCAAGGAGCCAAGCCTTGATTTTCTTGCATACGGAGAACATTGTGTACTTTTGAGAACTCTTAAGCATGAGCTTTGTCTGGAAGGAGGACATGATCAAGTTATGAGCTGAGAACTTCTAGGAGGATGAACTCTCGAAAACTGTGGGCCAGACTGCAGAAGGGGGAGAGGGCCCCACCCTTGGCTCCTACACTGGGCAGGAGTGTGGCACCTGTAGAGCAGCTCCGGCTAGGTTTATGGCTGGGACACTGCGGATCGGCCAACCCAGGCATTAAAAGTGGGATACATCTTGTTTTTCTACCAAACGAGAGGCAACTCGAGCTTAAGACATTTGACAGAAGGGAGCAGCCAGACTTTGTTTCCTGATCAAGGGAGGGTAGGGGAACTATGCCAGGCAAAGAGCATATCAACACATTTCTTAAAACAAGTTCAGAGCGGGAACACCCTATTAGACTAAAACAGTGACAAGGAATAATGTAAAAACCATAAGAAACTGTAAGGATTTGAAAGTGTTCACGTCTCATTAAACAGCCCATTTCAGCAGGGCCACAGGGCTGTAAGAGAAAACGCGGGGAATCCACGAGATAAATGCATTGTGTTTGACAACAGGGAAGGACCAAAATCTAATTGCTGTGAATAGGCAGAAAGTGAGGGTCATCGTTGCCGTCTCCAGGTTCCACGCCTGCAGGCTTTGTATCTGTGTGGAATTGCATTCAGAACTTTCGGGAGCTTATAGACTGGGACAAGAATCTCCCCCTACTTTGTGCCATCCTTGTCCTTGTGTGGGCTCCTCTAAAACTTCTCCATTTTTGAGACCCCCGACAGAAGGATTTATCTCATCTGATGGTAGAGCAGTGAGAAAAGGCAGTGCCAGACCCTGGACAGCCAACTTTACCGAAAGCCAGATTCTCACGGTGTCGTCTTTAACAAGATTCATTAACGGCGAAAGGGGTTACTTGACAGAAATTTCAACAACGGGATAGTTTTCATTTTGGAACCCAAATTATCTTGAAGCCTTGTTAGAAATGGAAGCTTTTCGATTTTTTTCTGATGCCCCTCCTCTGAACCAGCTGGTTGGTTGCCCGTTTCTCCGACAACTGTCACCTTAATCCTTATCAGCCTTTGAACCTCCCATTGTTTGTAGGTTGCTTGAAGCCGTTCTGCACATGAGCCGTTCTGGGCCCAGAGGCAGCTAGTTTCATGGGCGTCATGATCAGACCAGTTCAAGGTGGTGTGATGGAATGGAATTATGAAGGCCAGGTTCAGGGAGATAAACATTTTCTTAGCCCGCCAGAACAGCGTGGGAGGAACAAGAG